CCAAATCTTCAACTGATGGTAACCTGAGCGCAAGTCAATCTTAGAAAACACCCGTGCACCCTGAAGTTGGTCAAACAGGTCATCAATACGAGGCAAGGGATAACGGTTCTTCACTGTAACATTGTTCAACTGGCGATAATCGATACACATACGTATAAAACCATCATTTTTCTTCACAAACAAGACAAGAGCACCCCGAGGTGATACACTGGACTGAATAAAACCCTTATCAAGCAATTCCTATAACTGATCCTTCAACTCCTTCAACTCAGGAGGAGCCATACGATACGGAGGAATAGAAATGGGCTAAGTGCCCGACAATAGATCAATGCCAAAATCAATATCTCTATCAGGTGGCATGCTTGGAAGGTCAGCTGGAAACACATCGAGAAAATCCTATACTACTAGAACTGAATCAACTGAAGGGGTATCAATATGGACATCTCTCACATAAGCTAAATATGCGTCACACCCCTTCTCAACCATACGCTGAGCTTTAAGAAAAGAAATGAATCTACTGGGGGTGTAATCTAAGGTATCCCTCCACTCAACACGCGGTACACCTGGCATAGCCAGTGTCACGTTTTGGTGTGACAATCAAGTATAGCATAATGGGGCGACAACCAGTCCATGCCCAAGATAATATCAAAATCGACTATGCTGAGTAACAATAAATCGGCTCTGGTCTCAAAACCACTAAGAGCAACCAAACACGATCGATAAACGCGGTCCATAATGAGAGAATCTCCCACAGGAGTAGAACATAAATAGGGGAACTCAAAGAATCACGAGGTACACCCAAATGCGGAGAAAAATAAGAAGACACATAAGAGTAAGTAGAGCCTGGATCGAATAGAACCGATACATCTCTGTGACAAACCAATATAATACATGTGATGACAGAATCAGAGGCAACAACCTCGGTACGGGCAGGAAGGGCATAGTATCTGGCCTGGCCTCCCCTTCTAGGTCAACCTCTACCTCCCCGACCTCCACCTCTAGCTGACTGAGTAGGTGGGGTAGCAACCGGAGCTGTAACCATAGCCTGAGAACTCATAGGTGAAGCAACTGAGTCCCTGAGGAACATCCTCCCTCAAGAACAGATATGAAAACTGAGTCCCAGTCAGTGAAGCAACCTCAGGTGCGCCACCACTCATAGGTGGCTCCTCGAAGCTAGAAGCTAGTGAAAGAAACCTCGCTTGATCCTGAGATACCCATGGTACGGAGAATGAGGTAACACTCATCAAGGAACCCTACAGCATCCTCCGATGCTAAACCGCTGAATACAGGAGACTTGTACTTCTTGAACCTCTCAAGCCTCAATTGCTCATCCTCGGAAGCAGCTGCCCTATCCTCGGGCTAAGCTGGCACTGCAGGCGGCATAGGAATAATCTCAAGGACTTTCTCAACATGAACTCGCTGCTCAGGAGTGCGGGCTGCGGGATTCTGTGCTCCTCCCCCGGCCTGGGATGTAGCTGCAGCAAGGGGAAGCAACCCTGCTTGAGCCAGTGTGGTGTACATGCTCATAAACTGTGCCAGAGTCTCCTGAAGTGCTGGTGTGGTAGTAGTAGTAGGTGTGTCAGGTTCCTAGACTCCGACTGGATTCTCTGGTGGTACCTTGGTGGCAGCTCGCGCATGTGCTCTAGCTGCACCACGTGCATATCCTCGGCCTTTACCCCGGCCCCAACCTTTGACGGCTGCAGTAGAGGGTGCTGGTGTCTGATCATCTTGGGTAGCATATGTCCTCACCATCTATGAGAGAATAGAAGACAAAAGTTTAGAATGGTGATGTCAAATATCGCACGACAAGGAAATCAAATGAAGTGGAATTTTCCTAACAGTTACATAGCCTCTAGTATATAAGTACAGACCTCTCCGTACCGATCAGCGAGACTCTAATAAACCGGGTTGTAATTCATGACTCCTATGATCCTAAAGCTATAATACCAACTTGTCACGACCCCGGTTCACCCTCCGTGAACCATCGTGATGGCACCTAGTCTCTACGACTAGGTAAGCCTAAATTTGCGGAAGATAACCAAACTTGCAGAAGTAAAATAATTTAAAAATAGAATAAAGCAATAATAGTGTGGAAATGTGCCGCTCGACATATTCCATGTTTAACTCTCAACACCAAACATAAATTCAAGACCCGGAAACCCATGAATCACAAGCTACAAAAGAAATACCACATAGCTCTAACTCCAGAATTTCTAATAAAAATAGAAAAAGTGCAGAAGGGCTAAATACTAAAGGCAGGAATAGAAAGGGACTCCTTGGTCTACGGACGTGGCAGATGTACCTCGGAGTCTCTACGCAGTCGCCTCCCTCAATGATAGTAGGCCTGATCAGCGGTACCTGGGTCTGCACATGAAAAACATGCGCAAGAGAGGCATGAGTACACCACAGCGGTACTTAGTAAGTATCAAGCCTAACCTCGGTTGGGTAGTGACGAGGAAGGTCAAGTCCCTACTGAGGTCAAATAAGATATAAAGATTAACAGTATAGAATGAAACAGTATAAATGAGTACAACAGTAAAATAACACAGGGTGAACAGAACAACAAACTATATAGAACAAGGTAAACATGAAAGGAAATACAACTCAACACTGATAGTAACAATCAGGAATCTCCCAGGATACCGTCCTGTTGTGTGTATGTGTGTGTATATATATATATATATGTCCGAAGGATCTCCCGGGATAACGTCCCGTAGTCCAACTCATAGTGCGTGAGGATCTACTGGAATCCCGTTCCGTAGTCCCAAATGTAAATACCCAGTATTGGGGAATCTACCGGGTGCATTCCCGTAGTTCCATATAACTATGCAGGGGGATCTATCGGAAATCTAACCCGTAGTCCCAAAGTAAACAGATAAAGGGGGGATCTACCGGAATCCCACATCTGTAGTCCCAAAATAAATACACAACAACAACAGGAAGATATACAGAAATGACAAGATTTCATATTAAGGCAATAATGATTCTAGCCTAGCATGCTGCACAGAATCTAAGTAAGGCAGGTTAAATCAGATAAAGCAAATTAAGTCACTTAGACATGCTTTCCTAAGCTAACAACAGGCTCAATAGTGCAAGAAATAGAAACAGGAAAAGAAACATACTAATAATTACTTAAGAAAAAAATCAAATTTCCAACAATTAGCTCAAGTACGCACTCGTCACCTCACGTACAAGGCGTTTCAATTACCAAGTATACCAATCCTAAGGGGAAGGTCCCCCACACAAGGTTAGACAAGCCACTTACCTCGAACCGACTCAAAATCAACCTGAAACCATGCTCTTGCCACGAGTACTCGACTCCAAATAGCCCAAATCTATTCAATCCAATTACATAATGTAAATAACACTTCAAGTAATTGATTCTATAATTTAATTCTAAGCTAGTACGCGAAATTATGTAAAATGACAAAAATGCCCCTCGGGCCCACATCTCGGGATCGGGTAAAATTTACATTTTCAAAAACCTCGTACTCTCACGAGTCTATACATAACAAGAACACTGAAATCGGAGTCCAAATGACCCCTCAAATCCTCATTTAAAGGCCTCTTAAACTCAAGCCCTAATTACCCATTTTTTCCAAATTTCTCATCATTAATTAGGTCTTTAATCACATGAAAATGAGTTATAAAGTCAAGGACATTACCTCTAATCGATTTTTCTTTGTTTTAATCCCTCTCAAAAGCTCCAAACCAGGATGAAAATGGTGGAAGAATAGCCAAATTTCGCAAAGGCAACTATTTATATGTTCTGCCCAGCGATTTTCGCATTTGTGGCCCTGAGACTGCATCTGCGGTCCCGCTTCCGTGAAACAAGTGTCGCATCTACAACTTTCATTAAATGGCCAATTTTCCGCACCTGCGGTCTTCCACTCGCAGATGTGGTTCCGCTTCTGTGGAATATCCACCGCATCTGCGGAACCTGCTGAACAAACCAAAATCCGCATCTGCGGTCTCCTTGGCCGCATTTGCGGTCCCCAAGCTGCAGATGTGAAAATAATAGAAGCAGCAATGCTACAATTGCTGCAACACTTCTTCAACCTTCCCATCAACCATCCGAAATCATCCCGAGGCCCCCGGGACCTCAACCAAAAGCGCCAACATCACCTAATACCTTATTCAAACTAGTACCAATCCTTAAAACACCTAAAACAACATCAGGAACTCGAATTAATCAGGCATTTAAGCCTAAGAACTCCAATTTCCTCCAACTACGCTTTCGATCAAAAACATAACCAAAACACATCCGAATGACCTGAAACTTTGCATGCATCCCAAATGACATGAATGAACTACTGCAACTTCCGGAATTCCATTCCGACTCTCGGATCAAAATCTCACTATCGAACCGGAAACTTCAAAAATTCAACCTTCGGCATTTCAAGCCTAAATAAGCTACGGACCTCTAAAACACTATCCGAACACGCTCCAAACCCCAAAATCACCCAACGGAGCTAATGGAACCATTAGATTTACATTCTGAGGCCGTCTTCATACTATTCCGACTACAGTCAAGTTTCAACACTTAAGCTCTCATTCAGAGACTAAGTGTCCTAAAACTCTCTGAAACTCACAACCAAATATCCCGGCGAATCAAATTAGCAGAATTAAACTTGGAAAAAGCAGTTAATAAGGGATCAGGGCGTTAATTCTTAAGACAACCGTCCAAGTTGTCACAACGTATGACCGTAATATAAACGACTATTATACAAGTGGTCGATATTACTATGAATCATAACGATATAATTAGCTTAGGTAATCATATTAGTGAATGTACTTATATGGTTGCTACAGGCCGATACGTATGACCTTAATATAAACGGCTATTATATAAACGGTCGATATTACTACGAATCACAACGATATAATTAGCTTAGGTTATATGACTACAACCATATTATTTAATGGACTTATATGGTTGCTATAGGCTGATACGTAAGACCTTAATATAAACGGCTATTATACAAACGATCGATATTACTATGAATCATAACGATATAAGGTACGATTATAGGGAATTATTAGGTAAAAAAGAAAAGGAAAATAAAAAAAAGACGGAAGGTAAAAAAAAAATTAGGTATAAATTAGTATGAAGAAGGAAATAAATAAAGCAGATAAAAATGTAACTATTGTTTTAACGTTTTTTTTAAAAAAAATGATTGGCTTGATAGGAAAAAAATTAAAATCCACCCCGTTAAAGGTGAGATTCGATCTCGAGACGCCTCACTCAATAAACGCAATAACTACCCTTACTTAACCAACGCACCGATTAGAACTTTTATACTTTTTGTACCTTTATTTATATACATTAGAATCCTAAATTAGGGCTATATAAGTATACATATCGTCCTTGGAAAGTTAATCGATACGCCCAAAATTTTGATTTTGCAGTTGATCTGCCCATGGTCCCTTGACGCTCCATCTTCAAAATTTCAACAGGTTTCCTGCTTCTTCCTCTTCTTCTTTTTCCATAATCTTAATCTTAACTTTCCTTTATCCTAATCTTCATCATTTTTCCTATAATCCTAGGCCTAATATGATTCCTCCAGTCGGAAAAAAAATTGCATTGGAACTTTACCTTTCGATATACTAAGCAATCTTCCTGATGATGTTCTTGATGATATTCTTATATGTATTCCTTTACCAGATGCTGTTAGAACAAGCATCTTATCAAGGAAATGGAGATATAAATGGTGTAGAATTCCACAACTTACTCTTGATCGAACCTTTTGGAAAATACACCAAACTTCTTACTTTGAAAATATTATCCGCCACATTTTGACCCATCGTGGAGGACCAGTTAAATAGTTTACCCTCTTAATTACATAGTTGGAAGACTTTACTTATATTAGACAGTTGATAGGGTTCCTCTCTAAAAATGGTATTGAACATCTTATTCTTAAATTTCCGATCAGGGGGAAACCATACAAATTGCCTGCTTCATTTTTCAGATGTGTGCATTTGAGGCATCTATCTCTTGAAGACTGTTTAATATCTCATCCACCATCCTTCAGAGGTTTTGAAAGGATAATTAGCCTGAAGCTATACAATGTTACAATCTTGTACACGTTGCTTGGAAGATTAATATCTCATTGCCCATTGCTAGAGCAATTGGTGCTTCATCTCCCAGATAATTACCGTGGTATCATTGAAGTTAATGCCCCCATATTGAAGTCCCTTGACTTCATAGGCAGAGTATGGTTTATCAGTTTAAAAATTGTTCCTCTTCTGGCACAATTATCACTTGCTCTTAGGGGAGGCTATATCCTGGAAGCAAAACCTCACTATACTAGGTTTTTTGAGTCTTTTTGTGCGCTGGAACATCTCTATTTGGATAACCATAGTGTCAAGGTAAATGTGCTTCATAACTTCACTGTATTGCATTTTCATAGATGGAATATATTGTGGGCTATGAACCATCCTTTTAATTTGGGATGTTCTTTCTAGTTATTGGTTGCAGGTGTAGGAGAAGTACCAACTAATCTTCCCTTTCGTGTTGACTGTGTGAAAAATCTTTACCTCTTTGATCTTTATCTGAGTGAATTGTATTCTGTCGCCTGTGCTTTGTGTTTGATGAGAAGCTTCCCATATTTAGAATATATGAAAATCAAGGTTCTTACTTAATCATTTGGTTATCTTCTTAAGTTCTCATTATGTAGTGGCTTCTTTATACCTCCGATCGCCATTTAAATTTGGTGTTTTTTTTAATTATTTCTTAGGTGGATAATAATGGTGTACCTATAGCACTGGATAATATTGATTTGGAAGGAAGTTTTGGAGAAACAACATTCAACAACCTCAGTATAATTGTGATTAGGAGCATTCGAGGGACAAATCCTTACATGCAACTGTTGAAGCTTCTTCTAGCAAAGTCTTCGGCTCTTACGAGAATCATAATCAAGGCATTGACGTATGAAGATTATGAAATTCTCAAATCAGTAATTGAGCATTCAGAATTTAGGTGTGCATCACCTGACACAGAAGTTGTATTAAACTACTAGTACATTTGTATTTTTTTTGACAATTCTGGTACATTGCATGTTTTGGAAAATTCCAGTACATGCCATGTTTTGACAATTCTGTAACATGTCGTGTTTTGACAATCCTGTTATGCCGTGTTTTGACAATTCTGTTACATGTCGTGTTTTAATTTTCTTAAGTTTAGTGTTGTGAATCATTCATCATTTGCTGTCACGACCCCAAATACCGGTCGTGATGGCGCCTATCATGTTACTAGGCAAGCCAACTAGTCAATAACCACAACCCTCTTTCTAATAACATTAAGCCATACTACTTATAATGAATTTGGTATCTAAAACTTGCATCAGAAAAATGGCTTAATGTTTGCATCAAATATCACGAAATTACTCCAACCCGGCCCCCGGGCCCACGTCTCAAAATCCGACAAAATTAACATCAATGGAAATCCTCATCCTCTCATGAGACATATCAGGAACATCAAAATCGGACCTCAAATGGCCCCTTAAATCCGCAATTTAACTCTCCAATTTCAAGCCCTAATTTCCCTAATTTTTGCTACTGATTTTCCATAGATTTCAAGTTCAAAATGTTAAAATTCATCATAGAAACAAGTTTAGGGTCCAAAAATCTTACCTCCACGAAATCCTCTTGAATTCCCTCTTCAATTAGCTCTCCCAAGCTTTCTCCCGAATGAAATATGGTGAAAACCCTCACAAAATCGCGAAGGGTGAAATATATATACATTCTGACCCAGGCATTTTCGCACCTGCGTTCAATCCACCGCATTTGCAGTACCGTATTTGCGGTCAATTAGCCACTTCTGCGGCTTTCACTTAAAATCCAAAAATCGCATCTGCGACCACGTAGCCGCACCTGCGCCATCGCAGGTGCGGTCATCCAACCGTATTTGCAGCTCCTGCACTTCTCTTCCTTGACCGCTTCTGCGGTCATTTTCTCGCATCTACGGCATCACACCTGTGGTCCCCAATCCGCAGGTGCAAAAATACCAAAACAGAAAAATCTGCAGCTTCTCAAATTTCCCAAACTCTCCAAAAACCATCCGAAATCACTTCGAGACCCCCGAGACCTCAACTAAAAGCACAAACATATCCCATAACCTTACTAAAACTCGTCCCAACCTTCGGAACACTCAAAATAACATTGAAACACCAAAAACACATCAAATTCAAGCCTAGGATTCCAAAATCTTCCGAATTCCATTTTTGATCAAAAACCCAACCAAACCACGTCCGAATGACCTGAAATTTTGCACACATGTCATAAATGATACAACGGAGCTACTGAAACTTTCAAAATTCTATTCCAACCCCTATATCAAAATCTCACCTATCAATCAGAAAACGCCAATAGCCTAAACCTTCCATGAGATTCCAAAATGCATTCCAATCATGCTCCTAAGTCCTAAATCACCTAACGGAGCTAACCAAATCATAAAAATTCCGATCCGAGATCATATACCAACAATTCAAATCTTGGTCAAACTTTTCAAATTTCAAGCTTCAAACTAAGAACTATTCTTCCAAATTCGTTCCGATTACCCTGAAAACCAAAACCAACGATTTACATAAGTCATAATCCATCACACGGGGCAAGTCATGCACGAGAACTGACGAGCAAGGTGTAAAAGCTCTAAACGATTGGTCGGGTCGTTACATCCTCCCCCACTTAAACATACGTTCGTCCTCGAACGTGCCTAAAGTTGTTCCAAAAGCCAATCAATCGTTGAACAACCTTACCTTGCATATACCCGGGGGTGATCCCATATCACCCTATCTCATATAGGTCCGATAAAACAATTTAACTAAAATTTCACAATCCATCCTAGCCCATAAACCTTAGAACCACATTTCCACCGCCGAAATCATCCACAAGATCAAAATCTCACATATATACCCTGACTAAGCCCGAACAAGATGTAATAACCTGTACCCGTAACCTCGGTGCGATTACATGATATACCACATAACTCAAACTTTTGCAGCGATAATTTCTAATCACAGCAACTGCACACAACAACGAAATATCAATAGGAAACCTCTTATCAACTAAAGTCTCATTCCAACACTTTCATATACTGCCAACGATAATGAAACACACAGTAAGACATAATCGTTTCCTCAGATCAACCATTCATAAAGCCTTTCCTCATTTGGCAAAGACCATAGCAAATTTCTGCGCTGAACCTCGATGTTATCCTTCCAATATGTTGAAATCAAATCCGTTTGCAGTTATTAAAGATCCCGACAATCTCATCTAATCCAACACAACTACTCTGGTGACATTGACATATCAATACAGAGTAAAGCCACGACTTCTGCCATCCGTGCACCAATAAGCCACAATCCGAACTTACTCAAATCATGAAAATGACTCAAATGAAAGTGTTGTACCGCAAGCTCACTAGTACCACCACAACGCAAGGCTGAGAACCCGACACACATTGTAGAAACAAAACACATGAATCTAACCCACAGGATCATACTTCCATATAGCTTCGCTCCGATGCACAACCTCACCCAAACACTGGTCCATATGAGGCACCTCATGTCACTATGCTCAAAATTGACAACCGTGCACAATATGATGTCTAAAGCCAAGGCAATCATCATAACCATCGCGAAACAATTACATAGCACCACACAACTCGAAAAGGACATAACCGATACGCCATCCACCGAGCAATACCCAGTACTTTTCCCGTTCAAACACTAATACTGCACCATATATGCCTATAATCAACAAATCCTAAGGGCTCATAACACGGAAAAGTAACTCATAGATTCCCCTGATTACTAATAGCTCAATAACAACCGAATCAACATATCCCTCACCAATGGCAACTCGAAGTCAACAAAGCCGTCTTGATGCAAAATACACATCCATATAGGTCTACCAATGAACCACACATCAACTATAGTCACACACAACAGATAAATAATCTTCCGAAGGTTCACAATGACTGAATTATAGCACACACTATCATCTGCCTAACTTACCCACATCTTTGTCGTCCACGACCACGAGCTAACTTGTATATGAGAACTTCTAGTCTCCAAGTCCATAAAGCACATGAACTACCATATCTGATCCCAAATTTCGCCGCTTGCACATATATCACACCTCCAGTACTCAATCATCTCATGAGAGGTACTCAAAAATTCTTTTGTGCCGTCAAGCAAACTCGAATATCAGCAGCCGATCTGACAAGAAGTGTTGTAGTGCTACCGAAGTACCATCAACTTAATCACATTGCCTTTTTCTGAAACATATACCTCGTCAAATCACCTCAATTAGCATTACCATTTCCTTAATCATCTGAAGATCATTTCCCAAATCATCTGAATCTGCCTGTACTGCCTAAGAATTGTGACCTTCCTTTCAGAACTTCATATCCATTTTGAGCCACACGCAACTACATACTCAACTAGCCAAGAACTTCTCTATTAGACCTCAGCTGGGAGAAAATCACTATACATCCTATGCTCTTTATGCCCGTGGAAAAATACACACCTCTAAACTTGGTAGAATCATCAAGAACTCCCCGAATTCCATTTGCACAACTCTAAATCGTCAGGACTGAGTCCTTCTAACTCAACCGAGCTATGCAGGTCACTAAAACCCAAAAGAGTTGCCGCGAAACACCTGTAGAAACTCATTACTTTGTAAGCATCCAAGAACTAATCATATCCTTACCATACCGATCTGGGCCACTACCAAGCTATCCCATCTATCCAAGTTCACTTCTGACTTACCTTCAACTTGATACTCCTTCTTGCTATAACATCACAATTTTGCAACCCAGACTTACACATGAGACCCAAGCACAAAACCATAACATCTAAGACTCATAAGCTGCTGAATACTCTCTTAAATATTACCAAATTATCCACCTTCAAAATAGTTTACTCTGAAGAGACTTCCTACGAATCTAAATCCATTACCTTTACCTTCATGATGTTGATACATGGAATCCCATAATAATATAGAAAATACCACAAGTCTTGATATCTTCCAATGAAAACTCAGTTCCTAGCCATATATATAACTTGAAATACCTAATTGTTACATGTAAAATCTTGAACACATTAGAACCATTCTCGAGAGTCATTCACTCTACTCAAACCCCAATTAGCCCAATCAAAATAACCGAACAACCTGTGCCTCATTAGCACTTCAGACACTGCAACCTCATCCCAATACAACCAAAGCAACTTCCTGCTCTATGCACCGAGCATCCTTTACCAACAACAACTCAAGACATCCCGTGATTCTTATACACTTATGAAGCATGACAAAACCTTTGTCAAAATTTTCCTTTACTCGAGCCATCCTCAGTCTCAATCTCCGTAAGCCATAACTGATTCACCCGCACGCCTCAAACTGGAACCAACATAGCACATAATCGTGCAATCAACTAATCAATAGCGGACTCCCCCACTTGGCTCGAAGCCATAGACCAAAACACACACAATAACTCATAACGCATATACTCTATTGTTTCCAATATACCATAGTGAGATTCAAACTCAATCCTTCATAAGCTCGTGAAACATAGACCATATGGTACTTTGAATCTTCTGCAATTTCGCATTCATCCTCGCAACAATCAAGCCCACTCTCTTAAGCGGCCCAATTTAAATTTCAACACATATAATTCACTTGTAAATGAGATCTTCTAACAGACAACATGAGGATCACACAACCTCAGAACACTCCGCAGGGGATAACCCACCTGCTTTACCTCTAACTAACATTCCTGTATACCTTTCACTGTCATAAATATTATGCAGTCACTTAGTCCTCCTGAGTCTGAACTTATATCGCAACATGAAATTTACTTCACTCCCAAATAGGCAACATGAAAAGATTCTTCACACGCCCATAACTCGGGCTATACCTCGAATTGAGATGAAAATCAAGCACCTAATAGTTCTTCTATCCTCCCGAAGACCCTTCTTGTCGCTTCCAAATCATATGAATACATCTCGCATTCACATCA